TTAATGACCATTCTAAGTTACGGCACCGGAAAAAGTGATTTATGACCAGTTTTCACACTTACAGTACAACTGCTGCAGCACAGCCATGGGTCACATGATCAAAATTTGGGCCCTTGGCAACTGGCATGTATTTATGACAGTTGCACTGTTCCACAGCCCTGTGATCACCATTGGTAACCTTCCAGGCAGCTTCTGACAAACGAAGTCAATGGGGGAAGCCAGATTTGCTTTATGACTCCATGATTCACTTAACTGTAAGAATTCACTTTACCTCCATGGGGGGAAAAGGTTGTAAAATCAGGCACAACTCAATAATGCCTTGCTTAATAATGGAAGTTTGAGGCTTAATTGTGGTTGTAGGCCAAGGATTGTCCATATTTTGCAAACTATTAGGGAGCAGTTGTCTTCACCCTCCTTCTCCAATGCACACAATATAAAGTTGTCTTTTTTTCATCTTCTGCACTTCCTCCTGGGCACCTGGAGTACATTCTATCACTCTCTCCAAGTGTGAAATACCTCAATTCAAAGTTCACTCACGCTCTGCACCAGGCAGAATCAGCCCTCCTCCCATGTGGCAGAATGAGGTTGTCGCCTGGATCTTGAGGGATGGTAACAAGGCCCCGGAGGAAGAAAGCTGCAGGCCATTTCCCTCTAAGCTGGTCAGCTGCTTTCTGAGGCACAGTTAGTCCTTGACTTATGACCAAAATATCCAGTGCTAAGTAAGAAAGTTAAGTGAGCTTTGCCCATTTTATGACCTTTCTTATCCCAGTGGTTAAGTGAATCACTTCAGTTGTCAAGTTAGTAACACGGTTGTAAAGTGAGTTTGTCTTCCTCATTTGACTTTCCTGGTCAGGAGGTTGCATGAGGTGATTGACCCCAGGACACTACAACAGTCATAAATATGAGTCAGTTGCCAAGCGTCTGAATTTTTGATTACGTGACCATGGGGTTGTGGCAACAGACGTAAGTGGAAAAAAATGGTTGTACCTCACATTTTCAGTGCTGTTGTAACTTCAGTGCTGTTGTAACCCTAAACAAATGGTTGTAGTGGAAGATGCTGTTGTATTCACTAGTTTAAAGAAAAACTCAACAGTCAGTCCAGTCAACCTTTGGTCAACACTCCAACAAATGGAGTGGCACCCATATGTTCTCCTCCATTGCTTACATTAGTGCTTTACCTTATTTCACTTATACCCTTCTCCAATCCTCTTCCATCTTGGCTCTCTTTTTCCACCATATAGACAGTCCTTGACTTACAACCATTCATTTAGTGACTGTTCAAAGTAACAATGGCACTGAAAAAAGTGACTTATGACCGATCCTTGAACATTGCAGCATCCCCGGATCACATGATCACTATTTGCGACCTCTGACAGACAACATCAATTGGGGGGTGGGGGGGAAGAGAGCCTGATTTGCTTAGGGATGCAGTTCACTTGACAAGTGCAATGATTTGCTCAACAAGTGAGGCAAAAGAGGTTGTAAAATCAGGTGAGACTCACTTATCAATCCCCTTGCTTAGCAGCAGACGTTCAGGTCCCAATTGTGGTCATAAATCAAGAACTAGCTATACAGGTAGTCCTCAACTTACAACTACAATTGAGCCAAAATTTCTGTTGAGTGAGACATTCTGTTAAATGAATTTTGCCCCCTTTTACAACCTATCTTGCCACAGTTGTTAAGTGAATCACTGCAACTGAATTTAAGTTGGTAACCTGGTTAAGTGAATCTGATTTCCCCACCGACTGTGCTTGTCAAAAGGTTGCAAAGAGTGATGACAGACCTTGGGAAACAGTAACGGTTGTAAGTATGAATCAGTTGCCAAGCATCTGAATTTTCATCCCATGATTATGGGGATGCTACAAAGGTTGAAAGTGTGAAAGTGGTCATAAGTCACATTTTTCTGTATCATTCTAACTTTGAACAGTCACTGAATGAACTGTTGTAAATTGAAGACTACCTGTAGTTCCCTGTAAAAGACCACACTTAACTTCTCATGCTCTTTTGATCTCCTCTCCAATTTCCCCTGAGGAAATTTAGTAAAAGGGGGCCTTTTATTAAATAAAGCAGGATCTCAATAACATTAGCGCAATTATGCAAAAATGGAATGATTTGCACCTTTAGAGTTAAAAAAAAAAATTAAAGAAACAAAAACAAAAAAATTACCCTGATTTCTGCATAAAAACAGAACCAAGTCAAAGTATTTGGATGGTGAGCGGAATTGTATTATTTGCCATTTCTTCGGGCTGCCATTTTGTGGAAGGGGGTCTTTTCAAAGTCAGTTCCCCCAAAAGATTTCAGCATCCTAACAAAGCACTTTACCTTCTGTAGCAATAATATTGTTGATATCAAGAGAAGCCATTTCGGCTGCTGCTTCCCGCTTCTGCTTTAGTGCTTTGCACTTGGCTAGGGATGGAGGTCCTGAGGAAAGAAAACAGAAAATAGAGGCAATAAATGGAGACGTGCAATACTCTGAAATGGCTGCCGTTCTGGGACCCAAAACTGAAAGCCCAAAGAAACAGAAGAGGTGCTAACAGAAGTCCAAGGCTTTTAAAGACTGCTTAGCAGGCAAAAATACAATAGCCAATCATTGGCACAGAGCACTAAGAAAAGCAGGTTACAAAATGGCTCAGTCACAAACCACCTCCTCTCCTGGTAAATGGGAAAACTCTAGCTCAGGTGTAAAGCTAGTTCTAATGAGTTCTAGTCCCGCTGTTAGAGGACTAGAGGTCGCCCAGAGCCCAGCTGGGTGACCTTACACCAGTCACACTCTCTCAGCCCCAGGAAAGAGACAGTGGCAAACAAACTTCTGAAATTTTTCCAAGAAAACTGCAGGCAATCATCTGACTCAAAGGTGTGCATGCACACATACACACAAATTATAGAGCCAGTTTGGTTTAGTGGTTAAGGCACTGGGCTAGAAACCGGGAGTTCAAGTCCTGCTTTAGCCATGAAAGCCAGTTGGGTGACCTTAGGCCAGTCATTCTCTCTTAGCCCAACCCACCTCACAGGATTGTTGTTGTGAGAAAAATAGGAGGAGGAAGGTTTTATATTTGCTGCCTTGAGTTAGTTGTAAAATTAATAAAGGCAGGATACAAATAAGTAAATAAATAAAATAAATATAAGTAGAGGCCTGAAACAGACCTCAAGCCCAAGGGTAAAACGATACAGGTAATCCTTGACTTACAATAATTCATTTAGTGATGATTCAAAGTTATAACAGCACTGAAAAAAGTGACTTATGACCATTTTTCAAACTTACAACCGTAGCAGCATCCCCATGGTCATCTGACCAAAATTCAGATGTTTGGCAACTGGTTCAAATTTATGACGGTGTCTTAGGGTCATGTGATCAGCTTTTGCGACCTGCTGACAAGCAAAGTCGGGGGAAGCCAGATGGGTTGCTAACTTATCAACTGCAATGATTCGCTTAACAATTGTGGCAAGAAAGGTCGTAAAATAGAGCAAAACTTAACAAATGTCTCATTTAACAACAGAAATTTTGGGCTCAATGGTGGTCGTAGGTGGAAGGCTACCTGTATAGGGTGCTTGCTTTCCATAAAACTGTCCCCAATATTAGCAGTTAATTTATTGACCCTGAAAATAAATATAGGTAGTCCTCAATTTACAACAAATGAGACCAGAATTTCCACTTCTATGCAAGGCAGTTATTAAGTGAATTACGCCCCATTTTATTATCTTTCTTACCATGGTTTTTATTGAATCATATGTCATTGAGTGAATCCAAGAACCTCACTTTGCTTATGGGAGGACTGGCTGGGAAGGCCACAGATGGCCATTACATAATCCTACAGTGCTGCAACCATGTTAAATACATACCAGTGGCAAGCAGGCGAAGTTTGATTGTGCAACCGTGTGGAGGTTTTAACAGTTGTAAGTATAAGGACCACATTTTCAGTCCCGTTGTAACTTCAAATACTTATGGAGTGAATGATTGTAAGTGGAGGATTACCTGTATTGAAAATTGGTTGGGGCACTCTAAAATGTAATTTGAAAAATTTACATTTTGATTCAAACCCAGATTGCCTTAGCACAAATATAATTTATTTATCTATTTATTAGAATTTATCAAACAAAAACAAGAATAATAAAAATACAATGACAGGGACGATAGGCACGTTAGTGCACTTATGCATGGCCCCTCTATAATTTCTTTGATAATTGCTCAGTCTATTTAGTTAGCCAGCCAGTAAGGTTTCTGTTTATACATTTATGGCTTAGTGTGCCATGGCAATTTGGTGAGCTGTAGCCTGTTCCAGAAACCCAGATTAAAAGAAACAATAGCTTAGCCATATGTGATACCTTTTTTTTCGAGGCTCCGTACAAAGAGATTCACATAGCTCAACCTAAAAGTATCTGTTGAATTATTTTATTTATTTTATCGCATCTTCACTATTTTTACAAATAATTCAAGGCAGCAAACATACCTAATATTCCTTCATTATCCTACTGCATTTCCCTCCCACAACAACCCTGTGAGGTGAGTTGGCTGAGGATCAGTGGCTAGCTCAGTCACCCAGCTGGCTTTCATGCCTAAGGCTGTGTCCTGGTGATTGGTCCAAAGCCTCCCAGCTAGTTTTCATGTCTAAGGTGGAACTAGAACTCATTGCCTCCCAGTTTCTAGCCTGGTGCCTGGCTACGGCTTATATCAACTGCCATTAACTAACCTTTTATGCCAAGACTTCCCAGCTCTTCTCTGAGAGCCTTTATCTGAGCTTTGCGGGAGTGGCAACCTGCCAGGAGCTTTTTGTAATTCCGATGCACACCACATTCCCGGATGTAGCGTTTCAGACGTTGGATGAAGGGATGTTCCTCATTCTTTCCAGAATGATGCTTCTTATCCTACAGCAGAGGAGGACATAGGTTAACAGCCCAGCTCACAATAAGCTTTCCACGAACAATCTTGAACAGATCAGAGAAAGGCAATCTTTATTTTTTAAATCAATACAGCAGTATTTCTCAACCATGGTAGCTTTAAGATGGACTTCAACTCCCAGAATTCCCCAGCCAGCCATGCTAGCTGGGAAAGTCTAATTGGCCCATCTATTTTAAAATGGCCAAGGTTGCAAAACAGTGCTGTACAGTTAGTCCTTGACTTAGAACAATTTGTATTGTGAGTGAAGTTACAAAGGTACTGGAAAGTGACTTATGACCATTTTTCACACTTATGACCATTGCACATACCCGTGGTCACATGATCAAAATTAGGGTGCTTGGCAACTGGCATATATTTATGATGTTGCAGTGATGTTGCAGGGGGTCATGCCATCACCTTTTGCAACCTTTTGCAACAAGCAAAGTCAGTGGGGAAGTCTGCAGATGTGCTATCACTGCAATTCCCAGGATTCCCTACTAGAAAGAAGCCATTCAGTGAAATTCCTTCGAATTCTGGAGCTGGACATTTGATACATATGACAGGGCCCAGGTTGAGGGGGGCTATACCAAGTTTGGTATGGGAATTTTTTTTTCTCCGAGGAGTAAGGACCAGTTTACATAACTTAAGGGAATGTCAGAACATGGCTTGAAGAGAAATGGCCTGGCTAACAGGGCCTTTAGTGCAAACAGTCTTTCAGTATTCAAGAGTTGTCTTGCAGAGCAAACTGGAACAGAGAATGGGATATTGATGAGAAACTTCATCAAGTAACAACAGACCCTCAAGTTCCCAGCAGCCAGGCCAATTTGATCCAGCGGTATGGAGTATGTTATCTGAAATGTGTAAAATTGCTATACGAAACAAACCTTATGGTAATGGTAGTCCTCTACTTATGAACACAACTGTGCAAAAAACTTCTGTTACTAAATGAGACATTTGTTAAGTGAGTTTTGCCCCAGTTGTTAAGTGAATCACTGAAGTTAAGTTAGTAACACTGTTTTTAACTGAATCTGTCTTCCCCACAAACTTTGTCAGGTTACAAAAGGTGATCACATGACCCTGGGGAACTGCAACCGTCATAAATAAGAGAGCTGCCAAACGTCTGAATTTTTATCATGTGACTATGGGATTGCTGCAATGGTCATAAGTGTGAAAAATGGTTATGTCATTAACTTTGAAAAATCACTAATGAACTGTTGTAAATTGAGGACTACTTGTACAGATAATCCTTGACTTAAAACCACAACTGGGACCAGAATTTCCATTGCTAAGCAAGGCAGTTGTTAAGTGAATAGTCCCCGATTTTACGACCTTTTCTGCCACTGTTGTGTGTACTTCAGGTCGTTATGTGAATTACATGGTTGTTAAATGAATCTGGCTTCCCCCCCATGGATCTTGCTTGTCGAAAACTCCAGGACGTTGCAACCATTGTAAATACATGCCGGTTGCCAAGTGCCCCAATTTTGTTGACAAGATTGTGGGGATCCTGAGACAGTAGTAAGTGCGAGGACCGGTTATGTCACTTTTTTCAGTGCCTCTGTAATTTCAAATGGTCACTAAATGAATGGCCATAAGTCAAGGACTTCCTGTAAGAAAACATATTTGTTTAAAGTCCCCGTGTGGATGTCCCTTACCTTTCTATGATGAAGGTGCTGCTGAGAAGTAGTGGGCTCGTCCCCTACTAAGCTGGATCTCTCCCCTGGTTTCTCCTTGGTAGCACTCCCCCTTTGGCGCTTTTTCGTTCTTCTCTGCTGCTGGCTTTGTATTCTTTTCTTTCCCTTAAACTCACTCTCCAAATCCTCAGAACTAAGCACAAAGATTTCTTGATCCATGCTCTCTCTCTGTGACTTCTGAGCTGCTCTCTTCTTCAACTCCTCCTCCCCTTGACTTGAGTCAGACCCAGAGACATCCTTGTTCTTCTTTTCCAGTGTCCTCCCTGGATCTCCATCCTTGTTTTCATTTGATTCACTTTCTGACAGGAGACTTATTGGAGCTGCCTCCCTAGACTGGCCTTGATTCATCTCACTTTGTGATTCCCCTTCACCGCTAGTGGGATCCTGCACCCACTTCTTCTTCTCTTCCGAGCTCTTATGCTCCCTTGACTCACTTTCAGATTCTTCACTGGCGGAATCCTGAATCCTCTGTATCGTCTCCTTCACTTCCTCCACTTTCTTCCTAAGCAGATCCTCCCTCTGCATTTTCTCCCCCCACCCTGTATCCTTAGGCTGCCTCTTGGGTTTGGAGTGATTTTCAGTCTGCTGGTTCCCACTTTCTCCCCTGGCCCTCTTTGCTCCCTCTTTCTTCCCTGGACATTGATTTGCAGAATCCTCAGAACTGCTCCCCAAATCCTCTACAACTCTACTCTTCCTTCTGCATTGGCTGTCTGCCATCTTCTTTTGCAAATTAAATTTTTCATCAGGACCACTTCCTGAGGTATCCTCACTCTCGTTCCCCTCCGAATCTTTCTGGGTTCCTGGCCCCATCCTCTGCTGTGCTTTATTAGTACTGAGTGATTTCTTCTCTTCATTCTCACTTTCACTCCATTCTCTTTTTTTTCCAGATATTTCTTCTACCTCCGACAGATCAGTTCCTCCCTTTGATAGATTCTTTTCATCTCTTTGCTTCAAACAGTTCCCTCTTCCGACCTTCCTGTATATTTTGACCTCTTCTTCAAGGTCACTCTGTCCTGCGTCGATGATGATTTCCTCAGATTCATTCACCCTCCTTTTCTGCGAGCCTCCAATCCCCTGGCTCTCGGGTGATTTCCTGCCTTGTCCTCTCTCCCATCTTGCCTCTTGAAGAGATGGTTTTCTTTTGCTCCTTGTAGTTTCCTCATCGCTTTCAGATTCAGTACTGTGATTTCCAGCTCCGGAATCTTGTTGGTCAGAAGAATCCAAGAATATGGTAAGTTCTGGACTCCCGTGGCATAGTCTGTTCTTGGAATCAATCCCAGAATCCATTTCATCAGAACTGACTTCTGAGAGACAAAAGGAGAAAGTGATGAATAGAATCGTGTTGGGGAAGAACAACCAGAAGTCCTGAATCTCAAAGCCTTGGATGCAGTGCCTGGAGAGTCGCCAAAGTTGCCATTTTAATGTGATAGAAAGGGATATAGAGAATATGAGAATAAATTACTTTTTCTCTCAACCGTCACAATTTTGAGTGCTAATTTTCTTTAGTGCAGAGGTGGAGAACTATGGCCCCTTTATGACTCATGGACTTCAACTCCCAGAATTCAGGAATTCACAAGACATAAAAGGGCCATAGATCCCCATCCCTGGTCTAGTGGTTAAGGCAGTAGGCTGGAAAGCAGAGACCATGAGTTCAAGTCCTGCCTTAGCCTTGAAAACTGGTTGGGTGACTTTGGATCAATCACAAGAAGAACTGAGAGTTCTAGCCCCACCTTAACCAGGAAAGCCAGCGGGGTGACTCTGAGCCAGCCACTTTCTCTCAGCCCAACTCACTTCACAGGATTGTTATTGTGGGGAAAATAGGAGGAGAAAGGGTTATATAAGTTTACTGTGCTAAGTTATTGTAAAAATAATAAAGGCAGGATGCCAATAAATAATATAACAAAAATAATTTCCCTCTTTTTATCTTTGGTTTGCCCACTTCTGGTGTTCAGTCCTTGGAATTCCAGATAAGGCTAAATAAAAAAAATAAAAAAATTCCACATTCTTATGAATGTCAGGTTACTTGTGGCAAACAAGTTGTTGGTAGGTGGGAATATATCTTCAATTTTGGAGTCTAGCTCCAAGTTAAATATATAGCCTGGACCAAGCTGAATTCTTATCATTATGATTGGTCATTTATTTACCTAGTGCCTAGTTTTCATTAGGTTCTGCTTTTTCCTTTAATTTTTTCCAAATCATTTCACTCTTAAAATTGAAAAGTACATACAAAAAACTTCTAAAAACAAAGAGGGAATGGAAAAAGCAGGAGGTTTAAAAAAAGAGTCCAATAGAATCAATACAAGAATAGCAATAGGGATAACAGAAGAGGAGAGGCAATAATTTATGAGAAGGGTGGAAGAAAGCATTGGCTTTGACCTGGCTCCAGCAACCAATCAGTGCTTTGGGGTATATTGAAGCAAATTCCCAGAATGCAATGCTCAGCCAGCGAAGGGTTGGATATCTATCCCCTCCTGATTTTCTTTAAATTCCAGAAAGCATAATCAAAGTTCAAGACTTATAGGATTGTTGGTCCAACACACTTGGAGGGCAACAGGTGGCCCGTATCTGGGTTCAATGCAGCCTGACATTTGCTGAATTGAAGCCTGGCTAGAGGCTCACTTGGAGCAGATGGAGAAGGATGATAAAACAGCAAGTGGATGGTACTATATTGATTCCAAATGCAAATGAGGATGGTTTTGTATCACAGTCTCACAGCATTGATTTAGAAGATCAGCATTGCAGTTCACTTGCATCTCTCTGGATTAAGGCAGAAATACTCTGCATAAATAAAGAACAAAAAAAAAAGAACAACAACCAGAAACAAAAAACAGACCCCTTTGCCCTCATATCCTAGTTTCCCATGGGCAGAGGTGAAGGGTTTGGGGCATACATACTTCAGTCACTCACTGATTCACCCTGCAAACTGTCCTCAAGATACTATTATGGAGAGATCCTCAAAAGAGGTTAACTCTCATAGAGGGCAGACAATTGTTAGGGAAATTATGAAAAAACCAGTTTCTGCTTTAATAAAAGATCTGTTTTTTCTTCTTTTATTTATACTGAGTTCTTAAAAGTGAATTGAGGGTTGTCCTAGTTAAGTGGAGAACATTAATACTGTGTTATTGTCTGTAGGAAGCTTGATAAACTAAGAAACTTCAGATTGTTTGCTGATGGATGCGGAAACCCCAGGGTATAAATGGGATGAAGAAATTAAAGCATACAGTTCTTTCACCCGGAACTCCATTCTTCAGAAAGCAGCAATTTCATCGCAAAAATAATCCCTCTATTATTTTTGAATACTCAGAAAGCCATCATACCGCAAATTCCAATGTCGTTTTTATAATAGGGAGACCCAGATCTCTCTCAGTGTAACCCACCTTACAGGAGTTTTATTGTGGTGATAAAATTAGAGCAGCTCTCCATCTATGGCACCTGGGCTGTTAAGAGTTCAAACAGGCTATACATGCAATACTAAATGATA